AGAGGTGCTCAAGAAAAATTTGTTGAATGAATGCATAAACAAATGAACAAAGCATATTAGTGTGTACCATGTGTAGTGAGTGGCTACGGTGGTCATCACCAGCACTCACGTGGCTTGACCATCACAGTTAATGAAATGGGCTTGCCTGAAGTTGCCAGTGGTCCTAAGAAAGCCTTGCAAGACTCCATCAAATGTGAGGTTGCTGAGTGTTGTGAGGAGAAGCTTTCAATTCACAGCGAATCCTCCTACTGCATGGTTCTCTCCCCAGCTGGTTTTTCCATCTGCTGTGGACAATGGCAGCCCTGATTGACACAAGCACCCCTAGCAGGGGCTGGAGACTGGCAGGCTCTCAGGCAAGTTGCAACCTTGGGAACAACCAGGGAACTGCATCCACAGAAAACAAAACCCTCTAATTTGTATTCTCAGCAAGATTCAAGGGGACAATGCACTTATGAAAAGGGAGAAATCTGAGATCAGGATAGATTGGTTTCTGATGAAAAACATGAATTCCTTAATTTAGAAAACCGTCCTGGACAGCATGAATAGCATGGTGAATAAGGTAGAAAAGAGACTCATTGATTTTGAAGGATGGTTTGATAAATTATCTGATTATTCAGAAATGTAAAGAAGTTTTTTGTAAGTGTAAAAAGATTGAGATCATGAGCAAAAAAGATAAAAGTCATGAAAAATGAATTCAGGAGGTATAATAAGAGCCATTTTCTTGAGGTAAAGAAGACTAGAATCTTCAGATTAAAAGGGTTTACTAAGTATCTGAGACAGTAATGTAAAACAAGGCACACTTAGAAATATTCTAGAAAGTTTAAAAAGTGTTAAGAATAAGGGAAACAAATCTTACATGTACCACGCAGATAAAACAAACAGAAAGATCAAGCTGACAACTCACTTATTTTCTGCACCTCTGAAGATCAGAGGAAGGCTGGGCGCAGCGGCTCACGCCTGTCACCCCAGCACTTTGGGAGGTTGAGATGGCAGATCCTGAGGTCAAGAGATCGAGACCATCCTGGCCAATATGATGAAACTCCATCTCTACTAAAAATACAAAAATTAGCTGGGCATGGTGGCATGCTCCTGTAGTCCCAGCTACTCGGGAGGCTGAGGCAGGAGAATCACTTGAAGCCGGGAGGTGGAGGTCGGGGTGAACCGAGATCATGCTACTTCACTCCAGCCTGGTGAGGGAGAGAGACTCTGTCTCAAAAAAAAACCAACCAACAAACAAACAAGCACAAATCAGAGGTAAATGGGGCAATGTTACAGATGGCAATTGAACAATTCTGAGCTGAGGCAAATGGAGAGAACTTCCCAGCCAGACAAGGTCTCTGAAAGGACGCAACTCACCATCCTTTCTTAATTCTGTTTTCTCAAAAAGCACTCTAGTGATGTTAGAGACAAACATGACAAAGAACTCAAAGATTAGGAAAATAGGATGGAAAAGAAATGTGCACTTTGGGAGGCGGAGGCGGGTGGGTCACCTGAAGCCAGGAGATTGAGACCAGCCTGACCAACATGGTGAAACCCCATCTCTGCTAAAAATACAAAAATTAGCTGGACGTGGTGGCACGTGCCTTAATTCCAGCTACTCAGGAGGCTGAGGCAGGAGAATCGCTGGATCCTGGGAAGTGGAGAGAGCAGTGAGCCGAGATCGCACCCTATACTCCAGCTTGGGCAACAGAGTGAGACTCTGTCTAAAAAAAAAAAAGAAAGAAAGAAAGAAAGAAATGTGGTGAGCAATGATATAGCTTAAAGTCAGAATTACTGTATAAATAAGGATATTTAATTGTGTTTGAAAAAATACAAATTTAAAAATAATTTTAAAAAGAAAGAGATTTAAAATGTAACAGTATGAATAACTTGAATTTAAAAACCAAGGTTATACTAAAAAATCTTGAGAAGTTGGAGGTGTACATAGGTGGGAAAGAAATGGAACTATACAGAAATCTCATTTTTCATGGAGAGTGTCAAAAGGTCTTGCATAAAAGAATATAAGATCAAATATTTTTTGAGCTGTAAGGATAACCATGAAACTAACAAAAATAGAATTCATGACTTTGAAATCACTAGGGTAAAAACAGCAAATAAACAAAAGACATTTGGCAAAAGATAGGAAGAAAAGAAGCAAAGAGGCCTAAAAACAAGGCATAAACTAAGATGAAAGAAGCGAGAGCAAACATGTCAATCTTCACAATAAATATAATAATGAATACAATAAAAGCAAAGACTCCCAGATTAGATCCAATGCAGGTTGTTTATAAGAAACACGTCTCAAACAATAACTGAGACATGAAAATGAGTAAGTTAGTAAGTAAGGAAATAAATGAATGAAGGAACGGGCAGGAATATACCAGAATAAAGCACACAAATTAAAAAGTAATCTGTTTAAAACGAAGGCTTGTGGAAGGAAGTCTTGTTATTCCACATAATTCCTCTTGGCAAGAGCATTGCATTTATATGGAAGAAATATAATGATGAACCACTGAGGTGGTGCTGGAAGCCCAAGGGCAAGCTTAAGCCTCAGAAGATGCTTACTAACCTGCTGTGCAGAGCCCAGAAGAGGACTTTATCTGGATCGTAGGAGACAATTAGAAAGAGAAGAGAAGGAGCCAGCAAAATCCTCATAGGCTGTGCTCTCTATGATGCTAACTTCTTTCTGCACTCCTGGAAATTTCAGTTCGTTTAGCCAAAATCCCTGTTCCACTCTGGGCGTCAGTGGGCTCTTTGTGGAAGTACGTACAGGAGCTTGATTTCATGTCCGAGTTGATTCAAGATGGAATATTTAAAGCAAATTCCAGATGCAGAAGGGATCATAAGGAAGCCCCAGCAATTGTGGCAATATTGGTGGTGGCAGAGGGAATTCTTCATAGTTTTCCACAGGGCAGTTTGACATTGATTTACTGCCATCTGGATTACACCAGTAAATGCACTATAATGAAGATGTAAGAAACACACAAACCAGACACAAGCATAAGTTGGGGACTGAAATGAAACAAACGCAGGCTCCAAGCTAGTAATTACGGCATTCATACCTAGAGATGATGGAGTACAGAGCCATGGCTAAAAAGTGTGCGTCCCTGGCAGCTGTGCTTGGGACCTATGAGGCACTCTGTAAATGACTGCTATTGAGGTTGGGCCTGCAGCCTCAACTGAAATAAGTGTGCAGCAGACAACATCAGTGATCCACCCAGATCCCCTCAGGATCCCTTTTAACCATTTTTACGTGCTCCCTATCTGTGGTATATCTTCACTTCCAACAGCCAGCACCTGCAACCTGCAACGTTTTTACGGAGGATTGCCCCCAGGCTGCTGGAGCCCACTTGGGCCACCTGTAGGGAAGGCTGGAAGTTCCTAGGAGTTTATTCTCCATTATGGCCCTTAACCAATGGCTAATGAATGTGGGAGAATTTGAGCCCATTCCCTTTTCTGAGGTGTAACAACTTGAGCTCCAGAGTAAAACATACATGCCAGAGTTCCCATGCGGGGTCAAGCTGAAACTATCTTCTGTGGGATCTTGCCTGAGACAGCTCCCTTGTTTGGCTTCCTCCCTGCTCTCCCTTATCAGGTTCTTATCTCAGGATCTGCTTCTGGAGAATCCAACCAAAATCTGGTATGTCTGGCCTCATGCAGCTCTGGCTTTGACCCTAATGAAATTGCCTCCCTTTGCTTTGGCTTCTCGCCAGAAAGCAAGCTTATGATTTGTTCCTCAAGTAGACTCTCTCACTCATAGAGAATGAGTGAATTGCCTACAAATACTAGCATGAGGGTGTCCGCTCATGTTAGCACCTTGCTCATGGAGGGCCTGTGAAAGAATGTGCCCATCTAGCAGCCTGAAGAGTGTAAAGCCACTACTGAGGCTTTCAGCTACCGGAGTCCCTCCTCAGCTATACAACACTTCTCCTCTGTAGGAAACATTATTCTTCGTTGTGGGGGACTGTCCCATGCATTTTATAATGTTTAGCAGCATCATGCTGGATGCTAATCGCATTCCACCTCTCCCATAAAGTTGTGATAAACAAACATGTCTCCAGACATTGCCAAATGTCTCATGGGAGAAAAATCACTCCTGGTTGAGAACCAATGATCTGTACTGGTCCTCAGGACTATGGCTGGTGCTACCACCGCACCTTCTCCCTGGAGTGAAAACCCACTTCTTCCTCCTCCTTAAGACACAATTTATTCATGGTAAGAGGTAAAATATTAATTTTATCAATTAAAATTAATTGATTAATTTTTAATTTAATTGAATTAATTTAATATTAAATTTAATTGATTAATCAATTAAAATTAATTGAGTTGTCCTGAGTGAAGCCTAGTACCTTAAAGTTGTGGAGCTCCTTGTTATTGCAGATATTTAAGAACAGGCAGAACAAACAGCCAGAAGAGATACTGAAGGGAGAATTCTGTTTTTGTTGGGGTTTTGGTTGCACCAGAATGTAAATGTGCCAAGAACATCAGGTTTGGGACTCTGGAAAACACAAAATACATGTGGAATACAGTCTGTGTGGGAAAGGTATCATAAGCAGGAAGGCAGGTTCTATCTAGAAAAGAAAACAGGATTGAATATAATGGATAATAGGTTGAGTCAAATCTAATACCAGGAGACCCAGGATGGCTGAAGAGAGGGAAGAGCTAAGACAGACAAGATGGGAGCTAAAGTGAGTGTCCAGAAATGCAAAAAAACTAGATAAGTTTGAGCAAGCAACTGCATTTCCAACGCAGGAGATCAATGTAGACATCTGGGTCTCCATTAACTCTTAGATATATGGGTCTCTACTAACTTTTTCTTAGACATGTGGGTGTACATTAACTCTCCCAGGGTGGGCAGGAGCTAACACACTTTGTGTGTTAGACTATGAAGTTCAAGCTTTGTCTTTTTAGGCAAAGAGGAGCCACAGACTGGCTGTAGATAAGTTGCTAAATTTGGGAGGCGATGAGTGGTGGGTCAACTTACATTTGTATATCACAGAGAGAAGCTCTGGTAATTCTGGTCAGGTAGCAATGCATGGAAGATCAGTCACAGCACTTCTACCTGACTTCTCATTGACTCCAGTCATAGGCCAAAGTCATAGATCTGCTCTTGTCAAACTTACCAGTGGGTTTCATCTCGGAAAACTGTGAGTAATTTTCTGTCCTCATCTTACTTTACTTTAAATATTTTACACAGTAACACTGTCCTAGATTGGCTTTCATTATATCACCTTCTCCAGAGTTCTTTTCCTTTTGCATTAAAATATTTTAAACATACAAAAAGCATAGGAAATATTTTAGACACCCTCACAACCACTACCAAGATCAAACAGAAGTTTACATTTTGTCGTATTAATTCCAACTCTATTGTATCTTATATTTTCCTTCTGGATTTAATTTTCTTCTTCCTAAAGTATCTCTCTGGTTAATTCAGGGAAAAATCCCTGAGTGACGGATTCTCCTGTGTTTTGCTTAAAAAATGTCATTATTTTGCTCTTACTCTTGACTGATACTTAGCTCAGTATAGATTACTTCTATAGCTGACTTTTAGATTAAGAATGAATTTTCGCTTGGCTATTCTATCATATTATACCAATCTATTGTTGTGGAAAAAGCTATCATCAGAATGAACATTTCTGCAAACCCTCCATCTTCCTTCTCTGGTTGCTAGGGTGGTTTTCTTTGTTTTTGGTACTCTGTGGTTTTACAACAATGTGTTACATGTAGATTTATTTATTCTGCTTGTAAACTTTTCTAGTCTGAGAATTCATGTTCTTTGTCAATCTTAACTTTTTCTCTTTTTCTAATATTTCATTTCCTCTTTATTTTTTCTTCTGGAACTCCTTTTAGGTAAATGTTGCACTTTCTCATTTTGTCCTCAAAATCCTTTACCTCTCCTTCATATTGTGAACATTTTTATGTTTCTGTGCTGCCTGTGGGTATTCTCCTTAAATTTATCCTCTAGACAACAAATTCTCTATTCAGCCACGAATAGCCTGATCTCTAACACATCCTTCAGGTTTTAATTTTAATAATGGTACTTTTTACTTCAAAAGAATTTCCATTTGGATACTAGACTTCTGCTTCCAATCAAATAAAATAACAGAGATGAGATTTACCCTCCTGACAGAATAAACCAAAACAAGCAAACAAACAAATGAAGTTTTAGAAAGTCTTAGACGAAGTCTAAAAAATAATAGTTTACAAGATACTGGACCTTAGGCAGTGCAAAGTGGTGGTACCTGAGAGACAGAAAGCAGATGAGGTGAGTCCCAGTTTACATCTTGAGAGGTTTTCCAGCCACAGAGCAGGAAGAAGAACAACGATGAAACCTGAAAGTCTCCTTGAGTTGAGGAGATAGAGCTGAGAGTTTAGGGAGACCAAGATAGCTAGAGTTTGCAGGATAGGGGACTAAAAACAGGGGGGATCTGCCCAAAAGGAAAGCCCCAGAGATCTGTGGAGCGTCCCTCTTGAATATTCACCAAACTATAGATCACTGCAGAAGTGTAACAAAACTACCCAAGACTGAGGAAAGAACTACCTGAACAGATTAGAGGTAAAAGTGCCTTGTGCCAGCGCAGGCTGGAAGTAGTGCCTGTTCCCACCAGCTACCCTGGAAAATGCATGACAACATTAGCATAAAGGCCAGCAAGGAATAAATTGAAGTGAACGATTGTACAGTTCTTACACTATACTTGAAGTGAGCATCATATTACTTGAAGGTAGACTGTGATAGCTTAAAGATGTAAAATATAAACTCTAAAATAATAGAACATTTATAACTAATAAATAAAAAAGAAGATAAAGTGAAATCATAAAAAAAGAATCGTTTCTCTAATAAATGTCAGAATATAAAGGAAACAAAAAACAGATGGGATAAATAAATTTAAAAAACCAACAGTAAGATGACAGACTTACAATTAATAACAATAACCAATTAAATATAAATGATCTAAATACTCCCATTAAAATAGAGATTGTCAGGCTGGGCATGGTGGCCCATGCTTATAATCCCAGCACTTTGGGAGCCTAAGGTGGGTGAGTCACCTGAGGTCAGGAGCTCAGGACCAGCCTGCCCAACATGACGAAACCCCATTTCTACTAAAAATACAAAAATTAGCCAGACGTGTTGGTGGGCGCCTGTAATCCCAGCTACTTGGGAGGCTAAGGCACGAGAATTGCTTGAACCCGAGAGGTGGAGGTTGCAGTGAGCTGAGATCACGTCACTGCACTCCAGCCTGGGCAACAGGGAAAGACTCTGTCTCAAAAATAACTAACTAACTAAATAAAATAAAATAGAGGTTGTCAGATTGGATAAAAAGAGCAAGTCACAGCTAAATGCTATTTAAAATAAGTGCATTTTAAATATAAAGATATGAATAGGCTAAAAGTAAAAAGATGGAAAAAAGTGGTGCTACCACTAGCCAAACAATGCTAGTTAATATTGTGCTGACATTAGCAAAAAAAAAAAAAAAAAAAAGCCTGGAGTGAGTGGCTGTATTAAATGTTAGACAAAGTAGATTTTAGAGCAAAAACTATCATAATGATAAAGAAGTCATTCATGAAAGTCATTCACAAACCTAAATGTTTATGTACCTTATAACAGAGCTTCAAACACAAGAAGCAAAAACAGAATTTCAGACACAATTTACAATAATAGAAATCTCAGTAACATTCTTTCTCAGTAATTGAAAAAACAAACAGAAAATTAGTAAGAATATAGGAGAGCTGAACAACACAACCAACCAACTTAACCTAACTGACATTTATAGAATATTCTACTCAACAACCAGAATACACACATTTTTTTTCAAGTGCCTATAGAGACTACCAAGATGGACAATATTATTCTGGGCCATAAGACAAGTTTTGTTAAATTTACAAAGTTTCAAAGCATACAAAGTGTTTTCTGATTACAAAATATTAAATTAGAAATCAATGACAGACAGACATCTGGAAAATCTGCAAATATTTGGAAACTAAGTAACACACTCCTAAATACCCCAAAGAGATCAAAAAGAGAAATTAGAATGTATTTTGAGTTGAGTGAAAATTAAAAAACTAACATATCAAAATTTGTAGGAGGCCATTAAAGCAGTGATTGGAGAAAAATTCATAGCATTAAATGCGTATATTTGAAAAGGTGAGCTTAGCTTCTGTCATAAGAAACTAGAAAAAAATAAAAACAAATTAAACTCGAAGTAAGCAGAAGAAAGAGTATCATAAATATCAGAATGAAAATCTGTGAAATAGAAAAGAGAAAAATAATAGAAAACATCAATTAAACCAAATGATATTTGTTAAAATTACCAATATTTAGAATCAGGGAGGTGACATCATTTCAGAGTCTAAATTGTTCAGGAAAAACCACATTTTTCCTCTGCTCTCACACCACTACAACAATCATCAATACAGAAAACCTCTGTGACCAAATGTGTGGAGGTTTATCCCCACACACCAAGCAGTGGATACCAGCTGGGGGTTCAATTCAATTCCCACACTATCTACCTGCAGTGTCAGATGCACCCATCCCTTCTTCAGACACTCGTAGCAAGTCTGCGCCTCTGGAACTTCTGAACAACCAACTTCAAGTTGAGGTTCCGATGACCCCTTCTTTGGGTTCGATTAATTTGCTGGAGCAAGTCATGGAACTCGGGAAAATACTTACTTAGGTTTACTGGTTTAATATAAAGGACATAACAAGGGATACAGATGAAGAGATGCATAGGCTGAGGTATGGGGGGAGGGGCATGGAGCTTCCACACCCTCCCTGGGCACACACACATTAGGAACCTACAAGTATTCACCTATCCAGAAGCCCTCTGAATCCTGTCCTCTTGGGGTTTTAGGGAGGCTTCATTATGTAGGCCTGATTGATGAAACCATTGGCCATTGGCGATTAACTTAACCTTCACCCTCTCTCCTCTCCCAGGAGGTTGGAAGTGGGGCTAAAAGTCCCAACCCTCTAAACCTGCTTCTGTCTTGGATGACCAGCCCCTCCCCGAAGCTGTCAGTTAATATTAGCATACAAAAACACAGCACTCTATAGATTCCAATGATTTTAGAAGTTGTATGACAGGAGAGGGAAGGAGAATGCTGTGGCGATTGTGTCCCTGAGTCCAGGTGTCCCTGAGGCTCAGCTGCCCTGTTGCCCTTCCCTTGCTTTGACTACCCCAGTGGTTTTCCAATGAATCACTATTTTAATCCATGTTGGATCAAGTTTAGTTTTGGTAACTTGTCACTAAAAGAATCCTCAGAATACAGCTTTTAATACAATTCCAGAGAGTTACAGTCTTACAGTTATGCTTCCTGTCTCTGTTGAGACTAACCTTGATCTTGTAGGTGGAAGAATCAGAGGACTCAGCTACGGGACGCCAGGGACAGTGAAGGCAAGGAAATGAGCCAGGACCAAGAGGGGACAAAGAGTTATATTTCCACTGCTCAGGCAGTGGCTACACCTGCAGCCTTAAGGGTCCAGCATCAGGAGCAAGGTCTTTCAGTATCCCATCCAGGTGGCTCCTCTCACATTTAGAGAAGCTGTGTGGTACAGTGGAAAGAGTAGTAATTTGGGACCAGTACTAAGCCAGAGTTCAGATACCAGCTCTGCCACCTGCTAATGGTGTTATCTGGGGTAATGTATCTGACCTCCATGACCCTCAGGTGCCCCCTGTGAAATGGTAATAATTATTTCCCCAACTAAATCTTTAAGGCTACTCTTACACCATATGTGCCCTTGAGCTTTGTTTATGCAAACTCATCTATTGAGTTTTTCTATGATTTCTTCCCTTTCTCTGCAGTACTGTTGGGTTCTTAGGCCAGGACTCTTTGTGTTGTTGAGGAATTTGTCTTGTGTACACCCTTTGGCTCTTTCCAATTCTGGAGTTCAGAGTCCCAGACCCCAAGCTCTAAGCCACCCAGTTCTTCTTGTCCAGCCTGTGAGGGGAGTTGCAGGCAAGTTGCAGGCAGAAACAAGACCAACTTTATTTATGATTATGGGACCTTAATAAACAATACTTATAAAACACCTACCAGCTGGTGGAGACCCAAGGGCTGTCATTTTCCCTTTTCTTCAGTCTAAGGGAAGAATCTGGATGAAATCTGAGTAAGCCGAGTCATGTGTCATGCTAAGTCTCCATCTCTACATTGTAAATCCAGATGTGGTTTGTCCATTGCAGCTTTTCAAATGTCATATTCAGATTGGTAACATCAGAAAGTGCTGTTTGGGCTCTGATGTAATGGTGAGGACTATTTTCAGTGGAGAGGAATTTAATCTCATTATCACCAGCAGTCTGGTTAGGGCTGATGGCCCTGCCATAGGATTGCAGACCCTATCAACAAGATAAGGTGCATCATTTCTAGGAGATACAAGATTGCCACTGCAAAATTATTTTTAGGAAGTTGCTTTTTCTGTCCAGAACATTCACCTGAAAATAGCTCTGAGCCTTGTGGAGGCAGCACGTTGCAGAGTACTGAACTGAAAGCTCAAGCCTAAAGATTTATGGTGCAGATTTTACTTCTTCTGGATTTTGAAATGATTCAAAACATGTTGATAACAAATAGTAGCTATAAGAAGGTTGAGAATATGATCCAAATTCAATTAATTCCTTGCCTTTTATCCAGGAAGAATCTAATTATCATATACCTAAAGGGAGGAGGGAAAAAATTACTGTTTGTCCCCCTCTCAGATAATAGTGGATCATTCTATTGTATTTCTACTCACAAGTGGTTTCCTTTTTTCTCCCTTGCTAACCGAGTCCTATTTTGTTCAGGCAGCACGTCATGCAAGCAAGTCTTGGCAATCTCATTCCCTTTTGCTACTTATTGGTCTGGGGTGGGCATGAGAGAAAGACTATCAAAGGAGATGGAAGGGGAAACTTCTAGGGACTTCCTGGGATGGGGGAGAAGGATAGGGAGAAAAAAGAGCATCAGAAGCAGAAACCCTTTTCCACTGCCTCTTCCCTCCTACCTTTGGAGCAGAGCATGAGGATATGTTTCCTGAAGTTGCAGCAGCCATCTTGCCCTGTAAGATCACTGCCTATGGAAATAAAGCCAGCATACGGAAGAGTCAAGGTGGAAGTCTAGGTCCTACATGACACAGTGAACTGCTAAGTCAAACCTTGGGCTCCCTATCTCTGGACTTCTCTACAATTAAAGAACAAAAATCCTAACGGATTAAGCCACTGAAGACTAGGTTTTGGTTATTTGTAGCTAAAAACAATCCTAGGGGATGCACACTCACTGTTTTTTCCCCACTGTCTTGTTTGTTCTCCCTATCTTTCTAAATACACACCCCCACCTCCCCCCCCCGCCATTTTTATCTGGGCATATGACCACTTAAATAAATGCTCTATTTCCCAGATTTCCTTACAACTGAGTGTGCCCATGTGACCTAGGAGATATTAGCAGATGTGTCAGGTGGCAGCTGCTGGGAACCATCCTTAAAAAAATTGATGCATGCAATTTTCACCTTGTCTCCGTTTCTTTCTTTATTCTGCTATCTAGAATGAGACTGTAGTGGCTGAAACTTGAACCACCGTCTTGTACGGTGAAGACAAAGGTCTCCATTCTAGGGAGGAAACGTGGCAAGGTGAGAAAACTTGGATTCCTGAGGTCTTTGTAGGGCAGAGCAACCCTAGATTGCCCATCTCCAGGCTTTTACCATGATAGGAAAATAGGCTTCTATCATGGGTAAGCCATGATTATTTTGGTACTCTGTTAATGCAGATGAACTTAATCCCATTGATACACTAACTGGGCAGCTGCTGAGAGGTCTCTGTGCCTGTCGTGGTCATTGTACCGTGGGGTCTACAGCAGCCTTCATGCTTCAGGAAGAATAGGGAGAGGTTGATAGTAAGGAAGTGAGCAGATTTTCAAAGTTTTCCTCCAATTACCAAAGGTGATTTTTTTTTTTTTAAACCAAACCAACAGCTTGTCAGCAGCAGGAATCAATGCTGGAGGAAGGGTGGTGAGCTTGGATGATGAAGAGAAACTCAAAGAGAAGCCTGAAGAGAATTTTTGGCTGATGAGAGAAGAGGCTAGAGAGAAGAAGTCAGAGAGAAAAGAAAGATATTAAGAAAAAGGAAAGGTGGCATGCTAAAAACAGAAAGTCTAGTGTTTTCTCTCTTGTCTCTTCCTTTAAGGTTCTGAGATTTGAACTGTGGGCATGAGCCGAGGAGGCTCAGGCACTTGGAGATCCAGGAGGTATCAAGGTAAGTCTATACAGGGTGTCCAGGAAATGTGGAAGTGACTGAGTGTGAGCTCGGTGAGCACCTGCCCAAAAATGATGATAATAAGAAATACCCACAGTTTCAACGAAGCATGTAAGTGAGGGCATCTATGATTTGGGGTGAGTTTGTTGAAGATAATTTCCACATCCAACTGACTTCCTGTCTGGTATAAGGAAGTAGAGGCATATTGCATTCAACCAATATTTATTGAGCATCAGCTCTGTGCCAGGCATTCACAGAGCATGTTTTAGATGAGGGATCAAATCTTTTCTGCAAAGGGCTAGATAATAAAAACTTTAGGCTTTGTGGGACACGTGGTCTCTGTTGCAGCTACTTCATTCTTCTATCAAAATGAGAAAGCAACCATAGCCTTCACTGATCAGCCATAATATGTAACCAAGTGGGCATGGCTGTGTCTCAATAAAACTTTATTTATGAAAACAAGTGGTAGGCTGGATTTGGCCGGTGGGCCAGCTGTTATTTATCAATCCCTGTTTTAGATACCAAGCACAGTTAGATACTCTAAAATAATCCATGTACAATGTTAAACACCTACAACCGGTCTAACATTGTCCTACATGTTTCAAAACATTGTCTGTCATTATTCTAATGAAAATAAGAATCCTTGAAGTTTTGTGGACAAGGAGACTGACATTTGGAGGAAGTACATAACACAGCCTCAGGCTCACAGCCAGTAACAATGCTGGGACGTGGACCCAAACCTGTATCTCTAAAATCTGTGCTCATATAAATACATCCCTCTCATATTATTTTCTGCTAATGAAATTCTCTTCTTCTAACTGTGTGCATCGTGCCTGTGAGACTGTCAGCAGGCGCACCTGACCACATTTCAGACATTCCCCAAGGACCAGAAGAGAGGAACATGCCAGCAAAGCTCATGAAACAAGGCGCTAACACAAACATTGTCTCATTTAACACATTTCCTGCAGACAGAAAAGTCAGTTTCAAATTGTGGGTGGGAAAGGAAGGGAGAGACAATTGGAGGAAAAAAGACAGGCATGAGGCTCTGAGGAATTCCACAGCAGAATAGCCTAATTATAGTGTCTCCTCTCCTGGGCCTGAGAACCCAGTGGGCAGGAAGTTAAAAATACCAAGCAGGTTACCAAGAACCTACCATGTGCTGACCTCTGCATTAAGGGCTTTCTTTCTGTGATCTTAGTTAATTCCTACAAAATCTCCGTGATGTTGGTACCAGGACCCTTTTTCTCAGTGGTGCCAGAGGCTCAGAGAGTTGGGTAGATTGCACAAGGCCACCCAGTTAGTGAGGGACAAAGAATTAAATGAACATCTGTCTCACTCCAAAACTCAAGCCCTCTCCCCTGTCCCATGGCTTTCCCAAGCCACTCTTGAGGTAGAAGATCAACAGGGCTTCTCTGGGAGTGGTTTAATCCAATCGGCTATACTCCACTGATTATAGTGTGTGCATGCACAAGTCCTGGTTCTGCCTGCTTCTTTCCTGCATCATATCCTGATATTCCATAAAGAACCATATGAAGGTGATTCAACAATCCTGATCTCAGTTTCCTTTCTGCAAAAATGAGAATAATGAAGACCCATCTTACAAGGTTGTTGTGGTGATAAGATAGGAAGATACACACAAATACTTTGCACAATGCTTGGTTTATCTGTGGGGGCTCAATAGTTGTTGGTTGAATCTTAAAGTCCATTGAATAGCAGTGAACATTTGGAAAGTGGTGTGGTTTATTGGCTGAAGCATTAGACTTACTGCACCGAACAGATATCCTGGCTCTGCTAGTTACTAATATCTGACCTAGAGAAGGTAACCTAATTCACCAAGCCTTGATTTTCTTCTGTGTAAAGTAGAACAAATACAAGTGACTGCATCATAGGGCTCCACAGATTATCAAACAAGAAAATCCAGATAAAGGACTGTGCCCAACAAATTGTAGAAGCTCCATAAATGTAGCTACTATTATGTTATGATTATGTTTATTATATATGGGCTCATCTATTAAATTAATAAAGGAGGAAAGGAGGGAAGGAAGGACTGATGCAAAGGGCTGTGGCTCACGATCAAGGGAGGGATTTTCTTGCTTCTCTTTGCATACTCATCCTGATGTAGCGTTAAACTGCATGTACTGCTCAGAGCCAATGGCGGACTGAGAAGGATCAAGGATTGCAGGGGTGGGATGTGGTCTGGGCAGAAGCTCTCTTGAGAGAACGAGTGGCAAATTAGTTTTCATTATTTTTATTTTGTGTATTTATTTTAAATGTATTTATTAATTCAATAACTATTATTGACCCTTTATTATATACCACACACTGTGCTGGGCTCTCAGGATATACGGATAAACATCACAGACATGGTCTCACCCCTCATGAAGCTTGAAGTCTAGACAGAGAGTCAAACATTAAAGAAGAAAACCAAATCAGCATATATTAGCAAATGGTGACATTTGCTAGGAAAGAAAACAGCTGGATTCTATGAGACAGGATAACAGGAAGGATCATCCTTTGATGGTGAGGAAAGGCCTCTGGGAAGGTCTGAGGAGATGGCACTTTTGCTGAGACTGGATGGATAAGAAGGAAATAGCCCCACAAATGGTAGGAGAGAAGGAGGAATTCCAGGGAGAGGGTACAACAGTGTAGAGACCCTGAAGTCAGAAAGGGTTTGGTGTCACAGGAGAAGAAGGGGCTGGAATGTAAGTAGGGAAAAAGGAGTTTGAAGTGAGGCTGGTGACAGCTGGAGCTGCAGCCCACAGGGATTTGCTGGCCCCATTCGAGTTTCTATTCTGTTCTGAAGCCATTGGAGGATTTAGAGCCAAGGAAGGACGGTCTGCTTCGAGCTTTGGCAAGGCCATTCTGGCTTTCTTGTCAGAGCACAATAGAAGCCGGAAAACCAGTAAGGATGTGATTTCAAGGATTCAGGTAGGAGGAGGTGGGGGCTAGGCCTAGGGGGATGGCCTTGGAGGTGAAAAGAGGTAAATGAATTTGGGAGCATAAATAGGACATGGTGATGGACTAACTGTGGGAGTGAGAAGGAGAGAGAAACTCAGGGACAAATCCCAGATTCTCACCTGAGCAACTGGTGGATGCTTGGTGAGAGGAATGGGTTATGGGTTTCATTTTAAACAAATTAAGTTTGAGATGATATGATATATCCAAATGTGTGATATCATCTAGTGAGTGTAGAGCTAGGAAGTGAGGTTTGGGCTGAAAATATACCTTTGAGACTTGTCAGCATTTGCATGATATTTAAAACCACAGGCCACCTCAGTGAGCAGGGCTCCAACTGACACCCTATTCTTATTCTCTCTCTTTTGTGCCAACTGGCCTAGAATTTTAACAAAGCCCTGGCTGCCCTGCTGACCCCAGCACGTTCACGCTGCATCTACAGTAGCCTATGCCAGGGGTTGGTCCCTGGGGCCCACCAGACATCCTCTTCTTCTCTGCAACACTCTTGTGTTAGCAGGGGCAGTCCAACATGACGGGCACCAGAGCCTCACAATATAACACCTTTCTTCTTGGAAAGGCCCCAGGCACCGAGCACGGTCTGTGAAGAAGACTGGAGAGCCAAGAGGTAGAATTAGGCATGTGTGTGGGCTGACGGCCCAGGGCAGCACATGGAACTTTGTATGTGAAGTTTTCTGGTTTCCCTGGTTCTAGATCTTTGTATCTCGGGTCCTAAGCTCTTTCCAGTTCTGGAAGAGCCCAGTGTCTTTCGCTAGCTTCCTTTTCTTTTAGAATTACATGTTCAAGGACCTTTAACAAATACTCAACTCCCTTAACATTTTTTTTTCTAATTTCATCTAAATGTTCACCTAAGCTGTTCATTCTCTTTCTTCTAGAAGTTAGTGAAGCAGAATTATCAGAACCAGGCTCTCTTTTGGATGCAGTTGGTGTTTCTCCAAGGTGCTTATTACCTGTTATGGTTATTGCATGCTGGAACTGAGGTATAAACACTTCTGCTCAGGAGACAGAAGGCAGGTTAGGGGAGGCTATAGGTACCTAGCTGGTAGAGTTTGCTGCAGAGTCCTGGAAACAACATTTGGCCTAGGCCCAGATATCTCTAGTTCAATGCCAAGATATGCCTGGTATTAGCTGTATGGCATAGGACATGCTATTTACTGTTCCTTCAGTTTCTGCGTTGTAAATAGTGATGGTTTCAGGACTGTTGTTAGATTAGGAGGAATATGGGAAAGTGCTTTGTACACTGTAAACACAGTTACAAATGTAATATGTTTTTCCTGGGCACACTCAGCAATTTGTATAATTAACTCTTTTACATTTCTGTTTCTCCCTGTTGCTCTAGTTTTTTCACATCCAGAGGGCTAGATCAGACAAGCCTACATAGCCAGTAGGGGGTACGAGGAGGCATAGGATTGTGGCAGCTGCTTCTCTCCAAAGATGCCTTGTGTTGTGCTTTCAAGGAAAAGCAGTAAAGCATTTTTCTCTTGTTTTTTTTTTTTCCTTAAATTCATATGTTGATATCTACTGGTGCATATTTTGTGTAACAATAGGCAAATATTAGGATTGTTAAGATGTCAGAGGAGGGGGAAAGATGCAGGGAATAGAGGACAGAGATAAATTTTACAGTTAGTGAAGGTATGCGTGCACACATCTTGTTTGTTTTTCTTTATCCAAACGAATAAATAAGAAAAGCTGCCCACTTTGCTCTCTTTTCTAGCCTTCCTGCATTCTCACTGGGGTGGAGCTCTGCCGGGGAAGAACGTGGCCGTAACCCCAGGCATTCACTACCTGTTCTTCCCACCTGCTATTTCAGAGGAGTTTTTGAGCTGAAGTTGCATATAGCTGCATTCACTTGGACATGAATGTCTGGGAGTTCATGGGTTTGTCTGCCCCTTTGGCCTGAGAGAGCTGGGCGGAAGCCTCCTTGACGTCTGTGTTGACCCTCTCTGTTTCTCTGGTTTTTCTCTGGCCCAGTTTCCTGTTCACCTCTGTCCTCTGCTGTCTGGTAGGCTTGACTCATAGGAAACCAC